ACATCGCTCATAAGCGGGATAAATGAAGAGGCAGGCCCACCCCAAACTTGTGATAGTGAAAATGTGGAACAGCCACAGAAAAGAAGACATGACCTACGAAAGAGTGACAGCCGAACAGCATCAAGGGACACTGGATGACTGTGGAGTGAAGTAGCGCCTCACGTGCTAAAATGAAGTACCAAGTAACCTGGAATTTCAGACCTAATTCTCAAACAATTATGCAAGAGACAGGAACAAACACTTAGAAGAATATAGTTCAGAAAACGGGAAAGCTCTCTCACAAAGCAGATTAGCAGAGAAACTGATACATATCTGAATAACTATTTTATTTTTTAATAGAGTATTTATAGAAAGAGGGGAAGAGAGGGAGAAAGAGAGGGAAAGAAACATTGATGTGAAAGAGAAACATCGATTGGTTGTCTCCCGTACACACCCTGATTAGGGACTGAACCTGCAACCCAGGCCTGTGCACTGACTGGGAATCGATCGAACTGGCGACCTTTTGCTTTGCAGGATGACATCGAACCAACTGGACCACATCAGTCAGAGCAGAATGAACATTTCAGATGCCTAAGTTGAGATATAAAATAATCAGAGCTAAAATATTAAATACCAAAACAGGATTCGGGGCTTTGCATTTTGCAAAAGGGCAGGGATCACCTTTAGGCTGTATTAGGCACTTACGTTAACAATATCAGGGGTAACTAAGAACAGGTACAAAATAAATGCCAAAAAGGAAGGTTAGAAAAGACAACATAAGCAATGCAGAGTAAGAGGGTAAATCTCAAATATTAGGCATTCAGAGAAACACACGAATATTCATGACAGTTGAGACTGGCTTCCTTTTTTGAAATCTGCCTCTACACTATTAAAAGACTTCAACTCTAGGGTACATGAAAGTTGCAAGTGAAATTCAGGACAGGAAGAGAAATTCAGGAGCACTTTTTTTTCCCCTTAAATTTTCATTGATTGATTTGAGAGAGAGAAACAGTGACCTGTTGCTCCACCCACTCATGCATTCATCGGTTGATTCTTGTTTGTGCCCTGACCAGGGCTTGGCATGTTGGGATGACGCTCCAACTAACGGGGTACCCAGCAGGGCTCAGGTGTAATTCTTGATCTGGAATGTTCTACATGACACAGTCCTGAACTTTGGGGTGATGGGACCATGAGAGGTACAGTTCATGCTTTATCCTCCTCACCCAGCAATTCAGAAGCAGAGTGAACAGATACTCTTTTTCAAACACATCGTTTTTTGGAATTGACCCCAGCAGGCCACAGGGATAACTCAAAACCAGGATCGTACAGGCCATAGAGATGGGAATTCAGTTAGGTTTGAGAACAGTAGGAAAATGACAACTGAGGACCACTTTGAGGTAATTCAGAAGAAACAGACCACATGACAATGATGTCGCACCAACCCCTTCCTCTCCCCGCCCTGTCTCTGCTCCTGTTTCTGCCCTCTCTTCTCTCCTCCGATCCCCACCCCCAACAGCTGGGCCACTGGTGGTCTGGGAGACCGTCCTCCTGGACTGACTCAGCCCCTCAGCTCTCCCCTGTGCCCTGGTCATGACCTGGCACCTTGGTCTGAAGCATATCGTCCCCACAGAGGCTTCCAGGGCTGCCATCCACCAGGGGGCCCTCACCCCGTTCTGGCTCCTCTGACCAACCGAATGGCACGTCGCTGCCTTGTACATCCAGTTTTCCAACACTATCCCTGCTGTGTCTGAAGACTTGTGACCCAGGTGCGTAGCTCACGATGAGGCGCCCCATGGGCCGGAGGGCCCTCGGTGACACCCGCGCAGTGCCAGCATGTTGGCTTTTCCTTCATTCTCCCTTCTCAACTGCCACCTGCGTCACCATCATCCCCTTGGCCACGAACCTGGCCTCTGTGTCCCCCCCAAAATAGGAGTGAGACATTGCCCCCCGCCCCGCACTGGCTGGCTGCCTGCCTCAGTGGATGGCCCATCACCATCCAGGGCCAGGGACGTCCACCCTCTTGCCTGCGCAGGGCATTCTGTTCAAGGAGAGACTCCCCTTTCTCCGCCCTTCTGCACCAGCCACCGCTTCTTTCTCTCCCTCGCGGCAGCGCCCGCTGTTCTCGAACCCGCCCCACTCCTGGGCTCTCCTCCCGCTCCTCCCTGAGACCACTCCTGGGAGGAGTGGGGTTCCGCTCCACCGAGGCCTTCTTACTGCTAAACCCGGGGTCACCTCCCCGTTTTTTCTTTTCATGAAAGTTTTCTTGAGACACAATTCACATACCATACAATTCATGCACTTACTGTGTATGATTAAATGTTTTTAGTCCATTCACAGAGTTGTGCAGCCATTACCAGTTTTCGAACATTTTCATCACCCCCAAAACCTTGCCTCTGACCCAGTATCCCCTTAAGCATCTGCCAGTCCACTCCCCGCTTCTTGACGTTCTTCGCCCCACCTCCTGGGGCGTCCTGCTCAGCCTCTGGCCTCGCCGCCTTCCAGGGCCCTTTCACTGACTCCAGCCCCCAGTGCTCCTCTGCGCGCTCTTCTGTCTCCAGCATCTGCTTGACATTCTAAGCAGAACATCATTCTTCTAAAATATGCCAAATCACTGCCCAGCCCCACCCCACACTATGTATGTTGAACGTTGGTCCCTCACAGTGGATGGCAGCTTGGGGTGAAAACCTTGGGAAACCCCAGGAAGTCCCCTGCTCCCCTGCTCCTCATTCCCCAGGAAACATCCAGAATCCATCCAAGTTACTGGCTGCCCTCATCTTGCACCACCTTCCTCCCTCGCCTGACTCCCCACAGTGGTGCATGGAAGCTGAAAAGAGTCTAACTTGGATATCTGGAGAGGACACCCCCCCCCCGCCCCCGTCCCCTGCTCCCTGCCAAAAATTACTAATTGTTTATGAAAGGGGGGGTACTTGGAAACTTGTACATAAAACAATTCAGAAACACCAGAAAAGCTCTGACAAAAAGGCACGGGGGCAGAGGTACTGATCCCTGAAGGCATTAAACTTACTATAAAAGTACAGGAATTAGCCCTGGCTGTGTGACTTAGTTAGTTGGGTATCATCCTGTGGAACACAAGTTGCGGTTTTGATTTCTGGTCAGGGCAGGTGCTGGAGTTGCAGGTTCAGACCCCGGTTGGAGTCCGGGGGTGTAGCTGGTGTGCAGGAGTGCGTACAAGAGGCAGCCAGTTGATGTTTCTCACATCGATGTTTCCCTCTCACATCGATGTTTCCCTTTCTCCTTCCCTTCCTTTCTCTAAAATCAATAAGCATGTCCTTGGGTGAGGATAAAACAAAAAGGTACAGGAATTACAACTGTGCAGGAACAGAGGCGATTGATCATCACACTTGAGCAAATAATGAAGGGTCGCCAGGAGGGAAGGAAGGACAGTTAGAACACGGTGGGGCTGCTTGGTGACCATCTGGAGATTATCTTAAATCAGCCCCCAGGGCAAACTCCGATGGATCAAAGATGTCACAGAAATGGAGGCTGTGAATTCCAACCAGAGCCAAAAATGGGACAGACATGCTAGACTGTGTCATCTAGCAATTGAACTGTGTATGAGAAGAGTCCAGAAGCCGAGAACCTCCTCCCTCTGCTTTGTCTAAAGGACCAACAGGCAAACCCAGAAGACAACGGACACGTGGAGGAGGTCCAGCTAGAGCTTATCTGTAACCTCACAGATAAAAGGCTCCTGCTGGTTCAGTGAGAGAAAGAGCAGTGACCCACAGGAAAAGCAGCAAGGATAGGATTAGTGTGCTCCCAGAAGGGACAGCCAGTCCAGGGGAAGAACAAATTAAAGTGACCGACACCATCCTCTCCAGGCCAGCGTACGTTCTTATGTGAAAGGCTGCCTGCTTGTGTCTGTAAGACTGCACCCAGGAGTGGCTAGGGCTCGCTGTGGGTTTTTTACGGCGTCTAGATCATGAGAACATTATTACTAGCTGAAAAAACTTAATATGTTTGTGTATAAACTAGACTGTAGAACTCATTTCTATGGAGACCTGTAGACCGTGTACAAAGGCACAAAGAGTTCCTCTAAGCGGGGATAGGTGTGGCCAATGGCCACGCCATTGGGCTGCACTGAGATGCCATGCGGGCACCAGCCGGCCAGTTAACAGGATGAACTCTGAGCTTTGGCCCAGGTTCTGAGGACCAGGGGCCAGTCAGGTGGGCCTGGGCATGCCACCGGGGCACAGGTCCCCTCCCCATCAGAACCTCAGAGGGGAGCAGGGAAAGTGGAATTTTTGGAGAGGAGCAGTGTGCACAGGAGCGACCTCAAAATGTCACGTTTTTTTAAAAAATTGAAGGCATCTTTATAGAAGTCTGAAATGAACCACACATACTGTTTAGAAGTTAGGGCCCTTTCTCTGGCATCTTAAGCTGGGCACTTAGTATATTGATTAGAGTTTTAAAATAGCAAGGAACTTGTTTTAAAAACATGGAACGAAAGTCAGGGCTGCAGCAGTGTAGACAGACAGCGGGTGGAGGACGGGCAGGGAGGCTTGTCCTGATGGGACTAGAGCCCACCAGGGCCCCCCGGAGCAGGCAGGGCTGCCCCGGGGGCGCGGGGGCGGGGCGGGGGCGGCTCTGGCCAGTTCTGCATTTTGGGGAGGGGCGGAGGATAAAAAGTGCAGGGTTAGTCCAGGGCGAGGCAGTGGGGCTTTGTCAGGCGGAGGTGGGAACCTGGCGTTTGCTCTCCAGCAGCTGCCGGGGGGCCTAGGGTGGGAAGGAAAGGGGGAGGGGAGGGTTTAATTGTCCTCGGGAGAAGCCGGACAAGGAGCTAGGCTGGAAAAGGGGATGTGGACCGCAGGGCGGGCGGGACGGGATTCGTAGGGACGCGGGGTACCTAGGCTAACGCGGGCCGGTTCTGGCCCACAGGAAGCCGCTGAGGAACGGTTTGGTGAAGGACAAGTGCTTCTGAGCCCTTCGACTCCTGCCTGCCCCCCAGGACCCATCCCAGCCCAACCTTGCCCCCACCCCCCGTCATGGCTACACCGCTCCCCCGCCACCCCAGGCCTGTCCAGCTCCACCTTTCCCGGGCCCTGGCCACTCCTGGGACCCCTGACCCGCAACTCCAAAACCCCGCCCCGGGATCGGTCCCTGCCGGGCTTCAGGACCGAGGCCACACCCCCTGGGACCCTGACTCTGCCCAGTCCCGGACCCCTGAGCACTCGTCTGGTCGCTGCCTGTGAGGAAGATGCCACTGTTGCTCCGCTGTCCCTGCCACCGCGTTCTTCTCCTCCTGGCCCTGCTGCTGCCTTCGCCACTCCCGGCCCGCGCGCCCGCGGCCCCGGGCCCCGCCGCTGCTCTGCTCCAGGCTCTCGGGCTGCGTGACGCGCCTCAGGGCGCCCCCAAGCCCCAGCCCGTCCCCCTCGTCATGTGGCGCCTGTTCCGCCGCCGGGACCCCCAGGAGGCCAGGGTCAGCCCACGACGGATGCTCGCGGGGGCCGCCCTACGACCCTGCCACGTGGAGGAGCTGGGGGTCGCTGGAAACATCGTGCGCCACGTCCCGGATCGAGGTGAGTGGGTCAGCTGAGTCCCCCCTGGGCGCCGCAGCCATCAAGAGCTTTCGGCGGTCGAGGGTCCCTTCCCCGCCCACTGCAGCCAGCCCAGGAGCAACCTGGGCCTCTGTCCTCCATCCCTCCTCCCCATGGACACCTGTGGGGACCACGGTGAGTGGCCACAAGGCTGGGCGGCCTTGCGCCCGGCAAAGACGCTTGCTTGCAGCTGAAGCCCTGCCCCCACTCTCCCCGACACCCGCTGCTTCACACCATTTGAAGCCTGAAGCCTTGCTGCAGAGGACACCTCGCCCAGCACCGTTTCCCCAGGCGTTCGTTCATCTCTGCCCCCTGCCTGTGTTCCCCACACTGGGGAGCCGCTCTGCCGCGGGCAGATCGCCGCCTTGCAAGTGATGCCCCGCCCCCACTTTATCCCGCCCCCTCCTTCACACCATTTGACGCCTTACAGCAGATGGTGCGCCCTCAGCCCCAGGCGCTCGCCTTCCCCCGTCTCCCCAACCGAGAACCCCTCGAGCGCAGGCGGGCCCTGCGCAGGGGACGCATCCTGAGCCGAGCCCCCTTCCGGCCTCCCTAGGTGCGCGCGCCCGGGTCCCGGAGCCCTTGGCCGCAGGGCAGTGCCCGAGGTGGATGGTCATCTTCGACCTGTCGGCTGTGGAATCCTCAGAGCATCCGAGCCGGGCCCGCCTGGAGCTGCGCTTCGCGGCAGAGGAAGCGGCGATGGGGACGGAGGGCGGCTGGGAGTTGAGCGTGGCGCGGGCTGCCGAGGGCGCGGGTGTGGGTCCGGTGCTGCTCCGCCAGGCCGTGGTCTCGCTGGGGACGCCAGTGCGCGCCGAGCTGCTGGGCGCCGTCTGGTCCCACAACACCTCAGTGCCACGCCATCTCCATCTGGTGCTGGCGCTGCGCCATCGGGCCGCCAGTGAATGCGTCCGCCTGGCCGAGGCCTCGCTGTTGCTGGTGACCCTCGACCCGCGCCTGTGCCACCCGCTAGCCCGGTCGCGGCGGGAGGCCGACGCCGCGATGGGTGGTGGTTCTGGGGGCTCCTGTCGCACGCGGCGGCTCTATGTGAGCTTCCGAGAGGTGGGCTGGCACCGCTGGGTCATCGCACCGCGCGGCTTCCTGGCCAACTACTGCCAGGGACAGTGCTCGCTGCCCGCCACGCTGCCAGGGCCCGGTGGGCCACCTGCGCTCAATCACGCCGTGCTGCGCGCGCTCATGCACTCGGCCGCCCCCGGCGCCGCCGGCCTGCCCTGCTGTGTGCCCGCGCGCCTGTCACCCATCTCCGTGCTCTTCTTTGACAACAGCGACAACGTGGTCCTGCGGCACTACGAAGACATGGTGGTGGACGAGTGCGGCTGCCGCTGACGGAACGGGCATGAGCGGGAACACAATAAACACTGGGTGGTTTGAGCTGCGCCTCTTTCAGTCTTGTCACCTGGGCCTGGGGGAGGACTGCTGCATCCATGCAATGGACGTCAGGTTGGTGGGGTCGCAGGGTGTGGGGTCCTATGGTGGAGCCACCTGCTCTCTCAAGAGCTCCATGTCCAGGCGGCTCTACAACTAAGGGCCCCCGGGAGTCCTGCCAACCCTCGCAGGCACAGGTGCCCCCCCCCCCACGTCCCCCACAGATCCAGCCCTTCTCAAACGTGCCCTCCACGCAACAGGCCCTGGGACCGGTGCTCTCCCATCCCCTGCAGTCTACCCAGCCCTGTGACATACAGCAGTTGTTTTAACATTTTATTGGTGACAAAAGAGCTTAAAACAAATTGACCGAAAATCAGAAGTGACATTGCCATAGCACAGATGCTCCTTGATTGGGATAACTCAAAAGTAACTGTTGCTAGAAGGTGAACAAAGCCAACAGCAAAGAGCGAGGTAGAGCACTCCAAGGAAGGAACAGGGCAGTGGGCAGGCACACAGGGTCACAGCAGAAGCCTATCCAAGCCCAATGCCTCCAGGTGGCCTACCAAAAGGGGACCAAAAGCCCTAGCAATGGGAATAAAAGGCCTTGCCAGAAGGTGCCTGTGTGTCCCCGTCTTTCCGTGTACCAGATGGCACGTGGAGGCTTTGGAATAAGGGCCGGTGTCAGGAGCACGGGGAAACAATGCTGGGGTCACGGTCACTAGGCCCTGGGTAGGCAGGAAACAGTCCCCAACTGGATGGTCACCAAGGAGACTAACACCTACCCCCCGAGGGGGCCAACCATAAGAATTTCTGCACGTAGACCCAGGTTGATGCCCGTCTGTACCAGCTGAAGTGACAAACTCCTCCAAGCATCTTCAGCACAGAATCAACTTATTTCTGAAACTTCTTTCCCCAAATAAAGCAGAAACCACCCCAACTCATTGAAGCTATGCACAGAAAGGCTCCAAATCTGGGAGTGGGATGGAGAATAAGGGGGTCAAGGTGCTCAGCTTCTCTGATGGCTGCAGGGTCTGTGGGCGCCTCCCTGGAGAAGGATCTTCGTAGCTGATGTCTTCTGCCAAATCCTCGGGAAGGACCCTGGGGAAGAAGACACTGGGCGAGGAACAACCACCTTCCCGCCCTCTGGCCTGACGGCTAGTTCTGCCAGGGCCCTTCAGGGGACCGAGTCCACTGCATGTGAGAAGTGCCTTGCTTCTCAAGAGTCCAGCAGAGCCTGTGGGCCCAGGTGACATTTCCTCACCGCCCTGATGCACAGGGAGAAGCTGCTGGAAACTAAACTGAAAACAAAAATCTTCCTCTCCACAACCATGTCACAGGTGTTCATCCTAACCTCGTCGTGTGGCTCATTTAAACTTCATTTCTGGAAGGTTCTTGCATCTCCCAGGTCCACCACTAAGATTTGAGAGATAAACTCAGTATATTTTTCAGTATTCCTTTGAAAGAATCTTTAAAAAACAAACAGAAAACCCCAAACACCGTATTTTCTTTAAATGAAAACACTCTTAGAACAGGCAGCATGACTGCGAGGTCTCAGACGGCGTGGACGGAACCCACGCCTCGGCGGGGCTCTCCAAGCACAGCTCTAAGGAGCCTGCTCAGCATAGAAATGCAAGTTGTTCCTGGTAAAACGTAGTCCCCTTTCAATAAAAGAGAAAAAGAAAGAAAGAACAGAGGAAAGGGCTACTCTGAGATGAGGGTCTTCCTCCCTCCACCTGGTCCAAGACCCAGGCGTAGACACGGCGAGCTGGGCCTCCTTGGCGAGCGGGCTGCAGGGCTCTCGGGCGGGCCGGCCCCACCTCCGCTCTCCCTCTGTCTCCTCGCCGCGGTGCCAGCAGTGGGCACTCACTATCTCGGGCTGCTCTCCCTCGGGTGCTCCTCTCCCTCTCCTGTTGCTCACAGTGGTGCTTCAGTTTTAGCAGTGGAAAACAGGTATCCATTTATTTTTATTTTTTATTACCCAGAATAAGATGCTGATGGACTAAGCCACATAGCTTAGCTCTTCTGCCACCACCTGCAGAGAGGGAGGGAGGGCACGGGGCTGTCAGAGAAGGTGGGAGCCTGGCCCCGCCTAGAAGGTGAGGGGCTCTTTCTCCGCTTCCACTTTGCACCTATGGTGTCACCTGCGAAACTGACTTCAGGTGCTGGGCAACCCTCAGACCAGTGACTTCCCAATCAGGGAGAGACAGCAGCCAAGACCTAGGGCTAGGCTAGCCTGTGCTGCGAACTGTGGCCCATCTTCTCCCAGCAGCTCCAGCAGGCACCTAGGAGCGCCCCTTGCAGAAGGTCCCTGTGCACTTAGCGCCACAACTCGTCCCCCTCACAAGATTGCCAGTCTGAGCAAGGGATGTGTCCTCCTTTCTGCCTACCCAGGGGGCTACAGGCCTCGCATCAGATTTCCTCAGGAGTTCTAGGACTCTGAGCAGAGCCTATGACACAGGGAGAGGTGAAGGGACCTGAGCTGACAGGTCACAGGATGACCTGGCCCCCTGGGGACTTGAGACTCCCACCACATTTCTGGAGTTTCCCCACAAGCCCAGGTCCCAGTGAAGCCCTCCTCTGGGGCTGGCTTGCCTTCTAGTACTGGGACAGCCCCGTCACTCCACCATGCTGGTATGCTCGCTCCCCCTGGTACGTGGAGTCTTGCGACAGCGCCACATCGATCTGAGACTTAAATTCATCACCAAGGTAACTGTCCTGAAAGACACAGTTGGGAAGATGAGCAGCCAGAGAACTAGCTCACGTCCTTGCAGCCTTGAGGACCTGCTATGTGTCCAGCCCCTCCCAGCCCAGAGGAGAATGTGAAAGAAAAAGTGGTCCTTAAGCCCGAGGAGCAGAAAACCCACACTAGTTATGTCACCACTGAGACAGTGACCCAGGCCTGCCCGAAGGGGCAGTGTCATGGACGGGATGTTCGAGACCCACGGTCCTACCGCTGAGGGCAGTCATGAAGGCGGCCTCCTCCCCAAGTCCTTGGGGAGTGTCAGGGGTTGGGGCGTGCGTGTGGAAGGCACCCGGGGCTGGACTCACTTTTCTGCAGGTGTAACGTGTCAGTTTCAGCGCGGCCAGCTCACCTGGGACAACTCAGGCTGGGAGAGGCCAGGCTGGCTCATCTGGGAGGGTTGGCTCATGGAAATGTAGCCCTGCGTCAGGGCCCCCTGAGAGAAGGGTTGCGATGCCACGTCCTGGCTGGCCTGGCTGCTGGGCAGGTTCGTCTGGCTGGGCCCAGGAAGCCCGAAGCGGTTCTTCTGGCGTCCACCACGACCCGTCTTACCTTTTGGGGTGCCCCGGCCTGAAAGACAGCGTCCAGGGTTCCTTGAAGGAGGTCTGAGCCTCACAGACAAGCAAAACCTGCTCAAGGGCCTGGTGCTTGCTCACCTGCGGCCGGCCCATTGGCCTGTCCGAAGTACCCCGGCGGTGGCATGGGTGGCATGACCAGGTTGAAGGGGATGGGAATGTTCATGGCGGCCACGTGGCTGGGGCCGGCACTGATCATGCCGAGCTGGTCGTGGGTCTGGAAGTACATGTTGGAGGGCCGGCCTGCAAGAAAGGGTGGGTGGCGAGTTCCTCCACTGTGTATAAGCGAGCCTGCTGCCCACCCCCAGTCAGCTATTCTACCCACAGTGGAATGCCTGTCCCTGCTCTGCCTGTGGTTCTTCACATACACACTACACACACCAAAAAGCAGAACGCCTAAGCTCCACAGACCAGCGGATACGCTGAAGGCAAAGGTTCCTGGGGCCAGGACCTGAGAGCACAGCCTTCTGAGTTGGTCCCTGAGGACACAGGAAGGAGCACGGGCCTTGGACACCCTGAGTTACACAGCGATTTGCTGGATGTCGTGATGAGACATTTGTCATTATTAGACAACACAATGCCCAATCTGAGCCCAGCAGCCTTGGGAAATAGGGGATAAAGAAAGGGGGCTGCCAACGTAACATGTGAGAGGCGGAGCTGGGGTACACCTGCCCTCGAGATGGACGGTGAGCCCTGGCCAGGCAGCTCAGTTGGTGAGAGCATCTTCTCAACAGACCAAGGTTATGGGTTTGATCCTCCATCAGAGCACATATAAGAATCAACCGATGAATGCAAAAGTAAGTGAAACAACAAACTGGAGTTTCTCAGATCAATTTAAAAAAGAAGAAAGGAGAGCAAGCAAGCATATGAGGGGGATGGAGCCCAGAGCAAAGAAAGCAGGCAGGTGACACTGAACTGAGTCTCTGGGCACAGTGGTCACCCTCTGTGGGAGCTGGGATGGGGGAGGGTCCAGGCAGGCAGGGACCTGGGGGATGAATGGGGACCGTCTACAGACTGGCTCAGCAGGAAGAGGTGTGTTCAGGCAGCAGCGGGTCAAGACTCAGCCTTAGGACATGTGAAGATTCCACACGCAAGGCTAGAACATGCACCCAACTCTGAGGTATGGCAGGGCGAGTGGAGGCTTTAGGAAGGAGACAAAACTTGAAAAGAGGTTGTAGGCTACCTGGAGGAACTGCAGGTGTGACTTCCCATCAAAAAGGGGAGCACAGGGCAGGTGGGGAGGAGCACTGAGGCAAACAGGCAGAGCTGTGTTATTTAAAAACACCTTGTTTTTTAGAAACTGCCAAAGACCAACTCTTTGATCTCAGGCAAGGAAAGCTGAGAAGGAACTCGTTGACAGGCAGGTTTCTGTGGACGGACACAGCGCAGGCGTGGGAAAGGTCAATATCCCCAGTGCTGGCCTGGCTTCCCACAGAGAGAACTTACCCTGGCTGCTTCGATCATAGACTGATCCTGGGATGATGGCCTCCCGGGCATCATACATAGCTGTAGTCATGAAGCGGGCCCCCTGCAGAGGATTTGGGTAAGTGAGGAATGCCACCTTTCTTTCAGTGACCCAGCCTTTGATGCTCAACATTCCATCTCTGGCTTAGGTTCAGGCAGCACTGTACCCCTCCACCTGTGTCTTGACTCCTAGATGTCCCCAGAACTTGGCATCCCATACATCCCCAGCCCTCAAGACACTGGTGTGGGGGGCCAGGACACACTGCTCCTCTTCACACACACTTGCCACAGGCCACACAAGCCATTTGCTCACTGCCAGGTGCTAGACTGTGGGCTTGGGGAAAAG